GTACATTGCTTATCTATTGGCAGAAGTAGAATCACCACTGTCTTTGGTGAGAGTGTTTGTACACGCACAGCATCAGCTCTTACAGCTGGAAATTGCCTGGCTAAGTTATTAATTAGAAGCTTGAGCATTACCAAGGTAGTTCTTAATAAGGTGGGTTGAACTGTTAGACACTGTGCCAATGTTTATAACTCATTAGGACATCTAGATGACAGATAATGCTTGAGTGATAGATGTACATCAAAGACTGGTGTAATGTGTTCATACAGCTTGTTAGGTTAGGAAGGTCTCTAAGTAGGTGCATTAACTTAAATCAATCACTTGTTACCTTTGCTTTAACTACAACTTAAGTTTTCAAATACAAAAAGTATTTAGGGGTCACTCCAGTGATTTAAGGAGAATTAAAAGGTGAAGATACTAATTCCTCCTTACTGTATTATGTTCCTAAGAAAATTTCAACACTCTTGTCTGGCCTCGGATAAATACCACTTAAGGTCCAGTGAAATATTGGACTGACTAAAATGTTGTTCTTTTTGCATGGCAGTTACCTCTGAGAATTCAGTGTGATGTTGCAATGTCTTGTCTGTCTTGTTTTGCATCATACAGAATGTGTTTGTCCTGTGTTTTGTCATACTTATGACAAGTTTGTTCATGTCTGTATCAGTGTTACAGATGCCTAATCCATTAATGATGGATTAATAAGGAAAACATAAAATACTTGAATAATACATAATACTTAAATATATAAATACTCTTATGTTCTGAGAAATATTTTAAACTAATGGATGATGGTATAAAGTGGTAAATGTTGACTGAGTTTTTACCTAACAGCTGGATCTGTTCCAATCTAATAGATCACTGTATATTTCAATCCTCCAGAACTGTGTCTTGAGTACACAGAATAAAATAAAGTTTGCTATTTCAGACTTCCTTTATAAAAGCTGCACAGTTGGACACAACTTTAATTCTCTCTTAAGATGCTTCTTCCTTCTGCTTTCATTGCTTTGCAATTCTGATTACTTCCCTTTTCGTATCACTACTACCATCCTTTTAGGTCTCGTGATTCTTCTCTTGACTGCTCTTAGGTGTAACATCCATGAGATCAGTTTAATGCTGCTGACCCATGCATCTAGCTTTCTATCTTACTGAAGCAAACTTTAGTTGCTTGGTGGAGCAAGAGAAATGGCTGGTTCAAATCACTAAAAATTGCAGTGGGTATGTGGAATATGAACTGCACACCCAACAAGATCTGCAGGGAACTTCATGGATGCTGCCAGGATGATGCCCTTCCTGAACCCAACAGCCAGATGCTGGAGACTGAAGCAGGGTGACCAAAGGGTGAGCTCATGTGCCCCTCTCTGCCTTGGCCTGTCCCAAGGGCAGAGCTCCTGAGCAATGTGAGCACTGAGTGATGGAGCCAGGGGGTTCATCTCTCTGAGCTGTTCCAGGACTTTGGGGAATGTGCTCTGCTCCCTGCCCGTGGGGTGGCCTAAGAGCACATAATGTCCCTCAGTTGCTGGCAGACCAGATAAGTTACAGTACTGTAGCTTTGGCCTTGTAGCTCTTTCCTTCCCGCTTTTGAATAGTCTTGATATCTCCCAACAGGAGAAGGGAAAGCAGGAGCAATGAATACAGTGGGTTGGGGGAGGTAAGACAGAGCGAGTGGGGTGGGGGAGGTAAGACAGAATGAAGCAAAAGGAAAGAAGCTGATGGTGTGGCCCAGAATTCCTTAAATCACATGTTTAGTATAGGAGAACTGTTTTGAAATGAATGAGTGGGTCATTAATGTGAAATGATATTACTAAGTAGGTTGCCATTTTTTGTTTGCTTCGTGTGGACATGAAACGTGTAGAAACACTAGTAGAAACCTGGAGGGCAAAGAACAGCCAGTTGGTCTAACAATGCAAGTCAGGTCAAGAGTAAGTGCAAGAAACTGTCTGGGCACTTCTAGAGAAGGCTGGAAGAGAAGAGGCTGAAGGATGTACCAGAATAGTGCTTGTAGAAAATGATGGAGAAATCTGAGAGGGTAGTTGTGCAAAAGCCAGGTTTGGGAGTGAGCTGCTGAGTTGGCAGTGAGCTGAAATGCTAAAGTGTGCAGACCCAGCAAGGATGAGGTGGATTATAGGCCCTGGGAATTGCTGAAAGAAAATGTAGGAACATCTTGGTGATAATTTTGTCCTGGAGTCAGTCCAGAAGTGACTCAGATCCAAGAGTCAGTACATGGAAATTGAGAATCCTTGGCTTGCACTGATTTGTGTCTGACCCCAGATTATTCTGGCTGCCACTTGGGCCCTCAGTTCAATGTTGTGTTTGACCTATCTTGCTTCTTCTCTCCTCCTTATTATTCAACCAAAAGTCAAAATCTATTGCTCTCTCCTGCTAGTCGTACTCTTGCTTTATCCAACTTCTTGAAACAAAGACTCTCTGCTTGGGTTTGTGCAATACAGGTTTATGGTGCTGTAAGTGTTACTATGTTATTTTAGTTTGCCATAATATTTTCATGGAAAAATCAAAATTACATTAAGTAAAAAGGCGTGAACTTTATTTTTTATTTACTTGCTTTTACACAATATCAACATTATGATTCAGTGTTCTTGTTACAGTCCTCTCTCAAAGAAAACCATCACTTCTACTTTATGCACATGTATTAAGGTTTCATTTTATTTAATATAGTAATACATAAATATAACCCCCAAAAGTTATTCCTGTCTTTCCTGTCACATATCCCCTCAAGGATTAATCAAACCAGGCTTGCTCACTCCTGGTGCTAATGACATAAGATGATGTGTACTCAGGTCCTTATTGAGTAAATAAACTTTTTTTTGTAGTAAACTGTCCTGGTGGGATGTGTCATCTGTGTCAGGCCTGTGGGTAGGTTTAAAGGTGTGTCATAGCTTTGGGGGAAGCTGTTATAGCCCTTGGACTGTAGTAGCAGAGGTCTCTTTGTATTCTGTTAGTTTTTAAGGTGCCCATGCTAATTTTTGCCTTCAGACTATTCTAGTTAAAAATAGCTCAAAAACATCCTTATAGAATTTGTGTCTCTGTATCCAATGTGAAGGATTTGTTTGAACAAATACTTATTATTACTTTTTTCCCTAAAATGGTATCAATGAAACCCACAGCCAATCAGTACCTTGACAAAGTAAAACTACCTCACTTAATGTGAAGCTCTATAGAAAATACCTGTTTTTATTATGCATATAGGCATTTTTCTTGTTTTCATGTGATGGAAAGCTACGGGCATATATTTGGTTTTTTTTATAATTGGCATATTGCCCAAAGTGTGAAGGAATGTGCAAGATACTTTATATCTTCTTTCCTTACTTAACATAGCCTTAAGGGGTCCACTTTTTATATAGAGAGAGTAATATACTTTACTAAAAGCAGTGCATGGCATTCCATTTGTAACATGGACCATCCATTTACAAGCTTGGTTTACTTCTGATTTGCTTCAGGCTTAAGATCAAAGACTTTCTATCTTTAATTTACTGTAATGAACTGTGGAAACATTTGATGTTCCAGCACCTCAGTTAAGAGACACATTTCCATGGACTTAATAGGGGAAAAATAGGGGCTTTGACTGTCATGTCATCCTGCCTTAATTGGGTTTTTTAAGAAAAGGGGCTTTATATTTAATTGGAAAAATTACTGACCTGATGTCATTTAACACTGAGAGCAAAAACAGTTTCCACTGAATCAGCTTTAATTGATGTTGCTGTAGGACAAGAATTGCATGAGCACAGAACACAATGGGAAGTCCATCTTTCCCCAGTTCCTACCTGCATGCAAACATGACGCAGAATCCCTTTTCTCCCTCAAATCATTCTCCTTAGAAATATTTTTAACACTGCTTTCTGCACCTGAATTAGACTGTAACTACACATATAAGAACCACCTTGTCTTCTGTGCTTGTAAAGTGGTGAGTGTCTACAGCTGTCTATGAGTAATGAATGACCTGATCTGCCTCCTGGCGAAGGAGTAACAATTAAAGTTGTTGCTTAGCTGTTGTTTTATTAGCTGCTATTTTAGTAGGTGTAGTCAGCAGGGGCTGAGAGAGTATAAGTGACTTTTCCTTTGGTCTGAGGAGAAAATTCAGTTTGTTTGCATGAGATGCTGTTATCACCTAACTCTGGTTAACCAGGAGCTCTGTGCCAGTCAACAACTGTTGCTGGTTAACCAGGAGCTCTGTGCCAGTCAACAATTGGTTGTTACCAATTCATATTGGTAACAATATGAATCTCACTCTGCAAATCTTGCTTTAAGCAGAAGGTTCAGAAGAATTAAAAGGAAATCTCGTTGTGGCTTTAGGAGCTTTAGAAGCCACACAATGACAACAGCTTTGAGCCAGCAAACTGGTATGAAATCTGGGTCATACCCATTTTCTCTGGTCATACCTGCTTATGCTGGGAGCAGGGAAAGATTTAATGCAAATGTTCCCATTGTATGGCTATATGACCAGCAGAAATCCCAGAATATAAAGAACAGTATTAACATGGAATCCTTCTGGTGCAGCTAACTTTATTTTCATTAACATTTGTAAATAACTTCTTTCCATTCCCTAGCTGCAAAATGAAAATGCAGGGTTTTTTAATGAGTCTGGTATGGTGGGTTCTAACTGAACAAATAAGACCTTCAAGAAGCTAGGAAATGTGTAAGATATTTTTGGGTGCAGTTAAAACTGACTAGAGCAAAAGCCTCTGAATCAAAGATGGAGTTTTCCCTAGTTAGTTTTGTTACGTGACAATGTTTGAGTTTCTGTTCTCTTTCCAGAAAAATACAAATTCTTAAATTCATGTTCATATATGTGTATCATCTTTATATAAATGATCCTAATTGTGTGGAATGATGGCTAAACCATGGATTAAAACAGTATGAATATGTATAGGTGTTCAATTGTTGCTGAACAATAAAATTAAACGTTTTCTTCCTGTGGTATCTGGGTCTTTTTCCTCCTTCTCCCATCTTCATTAGACTAAATATCTTTGTTTTATTTTTCTTCATAGATTGAAATGCTAAGAAAGAAAGTAAAAGAAAAGGAATTATTTATAATACAGCTTTTAGAAAAAATATCTTTCTTAGAATGTGAGGTAAGGTGTTACCTTTTAAGTTTATATTATCGTAATTATTTTATGAAACCAAATAAAATTTGAATCAATGTCACCTCATGTTATCTGGATGCATACTTAGTATAAGTATTTGCTGTTCTTCAGTATGGAAATGAAACTTATGATACCAGTCACATGAGGAATATATGTAATACAAAGTCTCAATGCTCATGCAAAGCTTTTTAACAGACAATTGTATAACCGTCTTATAATTGCTTAAAGTAGAAGCTTCTGAATAAAACTGTTGGTTTAATTTGTGTTTTTTCTTGTTGTTTTTTTTCCCAGAAGCAAAGATTCCCTTATTTTCTCATTAGATATTTTTACATTATTTCTTGAGAGGAGAAGCCAATGTCCAATTGTATTTCTTTTTCTAACTAACATAATTTAAATAAAGTAAACTTGTGAGGATAATTACTGTTTTCCAGAATAAAGAATTACAAGATAAATTGGACTTCTTAATGGAAAACCAACCAAAGACCAATATAGAAACCAGAGATGCTGGTGTAGAATGTGATCTTCCATACAGGTATTTACTACTTCTGCTTGTTCATAGGAAGGTGCTTCATGATGTCCCTTATTGGTGCTGCATTAGTAAACTATTGTGCTAATTAACTGTTCAAATGGGTTGTGGAGATTTGCAAGTTTCAAAGAGCACATCTACTAGGTGTAGTGTACTTCAATGCCTTAGGGAGTAGGATTTAAGAAAAAAAAAAAAAGCAAACATACTGCAAACCCCTGGGGAGTACCTGTTTCCAGTAATGTCATTTAAGCAGGTCATAACGCTAGAAGTCAGGAGATCTGACTTTGTGAAATACGGGAAATGTTGATGAAATGTGTCTGCTGGTGGCACAGCAGAGGACAAGGGACAGCTCTGCCCTGAGGCTGGGCAGGGCTGGCTGTGCTGCTTCATGCAGCACCGTGTTAAAGGGCAGGCAAAACCACCGTGCCATGTTAGGGCTGCAGGGATTTCTGGAGATAAACGTAGCCCTAGGTGGAAGATTGCCAAGTAAAGAGCACAGTAACTTTACCACTTCTGCACTGGAAGGGCTGTCTCTGATCTGTGTTGGCCAGTGGCTCCATAACCTGGCTTTGTAAAGATGATGCAGGTATCATGCCTCCCCTTCTCCTCCTCTTCCTCTGCCTTGAATGCTGCAATAGACTCACACTGAGCCCTGGCAGCAAGGCTATGGGCTTGAATCTCCCCCCACCCCAAGTCACCACAGGGAGGGGCAAAACTAGTAAGGTAAGGAGGATCACTGCATATTACTTCCTCTAGCAACAAGTAAACTTGTTCATCTTGACTGCCCTGCAAATTGAATCATTTTGGTTGAGGAATGTGAATTAGTATGTGAAATCAGCAAGCTGCCATGCAAACTGCAACTTCCTTCCCAATTTAAAAATACACTAATTCCATTGTTCAGCCTAGAGCATATCTTAATGTCATGAGTTTTGAAACCTCAAAACCAGTGTTCTTCCCTCAGGCTGCCAGCAGAAAGCTATCTTCATTGTCCTTTCTGGGGCCTCTCTCTATGTTACCACAGCCTCTACTTATCTGATATTTTTCCTATCATTGAGATTTATCTCTATGCAGAAATTTACCTCGATGCAGTTTAGATTTTATGGAGTTACTTTTCACAATTAATTGTGTTCTTAAATTGTCTTTATTGTTGCATATGGCTGGACATTCCAGTATTAACTGGATGTAAACTGCATGCATATTACCTGCATGTAAACTTCTAAAGTTCTGCCATGTTTTTATCAAATATTCTTTACAGCATAATAGAAAAGAAATATGGAAGATATTGAAGACAGTTAATAGTTTATCAATAATAATATCAATATCAATAACAAGGCACAAGTTCATTGCTGTGGCATTTCCAGCCCAGCTGTCTGATACTCTGACATTAACTCTGTGAGCTTCTTGTCTCCTTAACAGCCCAAGTACTGAGAACAGAAGGTCTCCTGAAAGCACAAGGCCGGTGAGGACATACACCCCATTCATGAGAGTGTTGGAATTTAGCACAAAGAACAGTACATCCTGAGCATTCAAGTCAACATGCTTTCTAAATATGAGCAAACATCTTGCACCTTTGCAGCTTGATTAGATACATTTGTATGAAGTCATAGAGAAGAACAGCAGCACCGTGTCTTGCTAAATTTATGCTGAAAGCAGCTTTTTAGTAACTTCGTATCTGAAGTTGCTACTGACATGAACTGAGTGGGATACAGAAGAAGCAGGGTGAGTGAAACAGCAGTCAATATTGCTTCTTTAGAAGCTGTGTAGTGCAATGTGTTATTTCAGATGCCTGTAAAGAAGGAGTTTTATAGCTGTACAGTTGTATTATTTTTTTCTTCAATTGTGTTGTAATTCTGTTTGTACAATGAAGCTCTAATATATTTTATTTTCAACTCTACTAGAAGCAGTATCAGAAACGATGCTGGCAGAGGGCATTAGTCTGAAAGTTCCCCTTAGTCTGTGTGCAGGGTGCAAGGGCTCTTCGCACCCATCAGAGAGACCTGGGATGGCTGAGGGTTCTATTCACCTGGAAAAAGTTACCTCGTAACCAGCTTGCTGGGAGGGAGAGAGGCAACTGTGCTGTTTCAAACTGTTCCCTCAACACATGCAGATGATGTCATGTCTGTTGCTCAAAACAGTAACTGACAGAGCAGATTATCATGGATTTTGCTTTGTTGGAATGAGGCACTGCTTTGTGTTTTCCCAGTCATGGGACAGAGAGACTATTGGTGATAAATTAAAAAGTAATTGTGCAGTAAAATCCCAGTCACTTTTCAAAATTTACTTTTCCATCAGAGGAAGGAATTTTCATTAAACAGAATTTTGCCAAGAGCAACCTGCAGCAGTCCCTACAATTCCTACAGCAACAGCAATCCTAAAAAAGGATTTTGATTTTGAGTACTCCGTTTTTTCCAAAGCACTTAAAATCTTATCCCTGACTTCAACATACCAGTAGGAATGACTGCATCTAGCACTGAACTTATTTAAATATATATATGGTATTTTTTTACATCTTGTTTTGATCTCCCAGTCTTAGTGAACTAACATGATTTACGAATATTTTCTTGTAGTTCTACTAACATGAATGAAGGGCATTTTTTTAAAATCACAGTAACTGCTAAAGAAAACAACTTATATTTTGTATGATTAATACTCTTCTTGCATTGAATGTCAGTCCCAGGAGGTACTCACCTTGCCACAGGGCTTCACAAAGTGATTGCAAGTCTAATACAAGTTCTTAAATTCAGTACTGTCTGTTCAAATGAAGTATACTCAGT